TATATCCTATTCCATGTGTTGCGAGCAGATCTGTGTTTACCATCAAGCACAATGGCTTGATCATCAGAAAGTACTTGAGAGTTCATTGCCGTCAAATTTTGTGTGTTCAAATCTGAAATGTGCAAAAAATGGCTGTTGGAACGGTAAATGCAACTGTTAGTATGGTAAAATATGAGAATATTTGTATTCGTCAAAAAAATGTTTTATTAAATTTGACCACTAGATTTTATTGTCTCAACAAAGACCGATCGATTCAAGAAACAAAAAAACGAAGCTAATTCACCACAATTTCTAATAGAAGTTAGTGATATCAATTGTACTGAAATCAGAAATATCATTCCTCCAATTTCATCATAGAAACGAAGCTTGTTTCTTCATTGTTTCGATTTTAATACTAGCAGAATGTTGGTGTTCAATCATCAAATAATTCAATCAATCTACACAAAAACAACTAATCGTGAAAGCATGTTAAACTTATTGATTCTACTTTTGTTCAATAATCAATCATTGTAGACAGTCCCTTTACATATTCGACCCATAGATCTACTCATGATTCAGAAAAAATATATCAATCATTGACTTTGTTCTTGACCGAATTAATTTCTATAATACAAACATGTTCAATATTTGAATCAATCGAATATCATTGATGAACATTGCTGTTCAATTCGTATTGAAGCGTTCGAATTGACAATCAATGAAAAAGTTTAGTTGGCTGTTCTACGGAAATATCCGATCTATTTTCAATTTTCTTCCATCGTTTCATTTTGTCTAAAGTTCAAGATTAGAGCAAGACAATTTCTCTACTAATCCATGAAAGAGCAATTCTTATCTTGATGATCAAGAATGCCATCGACTTCTCCACAAGAATCCCAGTTACGTTTGTCTTTATTTGAACAATCTTGAAGGGATCAATTGTTCCATATTGAATGAGTTGTGCAAACAAGGTTTCTATTCATCAAATGTTTTATGCAAACCGAATTATCGAAGTCTCCCGAGTAGCATCGATCAGCCCTATTGTCTATGACTAATTAGCATGATCGATTATTGATGTGATTTGAAGCCTTATTTGAATAATGATCAGTGTTTTCCTCAACCGAAACCGACTGATTATTTCTGTTTGTATTCTAAGCATTATTTTAATAGACAATCTACAATGATGAAAAACATTCGATTCGATTGTATATCATTGAAAGTTTAAAACATCACGACGTTATCGTGCAATATTTGAATATCAATTTTTATACTCTTGATATGACTCTTATTTATCAACATCTTTAAAAATATCTCGCTAATATTTTGCACTATCTAAATCAAGGTCATACAGTACCGATAATCGTTATCGTTCAATTTTATTCTCGCTCAGACAGAGGTGTGAAGTGTGGTTCTTCTCTAAATCAAAATCACAAACCGACACCCACACTCATTGAGATTTTGTTGTAATTGATCATGTATACGTATAACTTCTTGATCCATTTGTTTGCCAAGTGACTGCCGATGTTCATATATATGAGACAAACAGAAATCACGTGAACATCCGCGACATATAAAAGTCCCATTTCCATTGTCACATATCGCACTACGCGAATGTTTTGACGATGAGGAAGCCATGCGTGACCGTGAAATGCATTCGGTAGCAGAATAAAGAAAAAAAGACACAACCGTCAAGTGTTTAAACAACACAGTAAGACATGAATCATTAGGTGCCGCAATGAGAGTAAAAGGAATAGTTTTCTTTTGGTCGTTGATTTCAGTCGATTTTCGACTCTTACTCTAATGAGATTGAATGTCTAGCCGCTTTGTTCCCATTGGATATATATATATCAATATGGAGTGATAGTTTAAGAATGATTATTCAAATAGTTACAAATATACATTTGATAAATTTCGATTGTTTCAAAGCGAAGGTAACCATCTCTTTCAATTTTTATGAGAAAATCCTAGTTGTTGTACTTTTCTCTTTTCTTGTTCGTCTTACATTATGTTTCGGTTTATACTTTCAAAAGCAATCCATTTTTGTTCAATTCTACAAGAATGAGTGCATGATAATTGTTGCTCGAATAAAATTTAAATTTAGAAGATACAGCTATTAACTGATGAAAGTGTTAGCGGTTGTCCTTTTGGATCAACGCTAAGTTCGTTCTCTTTTCTTTAACGAAAAAAAGTATGTATATGTGTGTGTGTATACGTACACTTGCACACCGTCTTTTATTTTATCTGTTTTTAAATAATGGAAAACACGTACATATATAGTGAGCGACAAAAAAAGAAAAAAGAAGAGAGAGAGAAAAGAAAAGAAAGAGAACAGGGACTAGATGTATGAATAGTAAAAGAGAAGACTAGATGTATCACCAAGAAAGAAATAGAAAACGAAATGGAAAAAGAAAATAAAAATGAAGATAGATGGCGAGTTGTAACAGTGCGACATCACTGTAACATACTCCCATATTGGACAAAAAAATGTGTCCTATCAACATTTTTTCCCAGAGAGGACTAACAACGATAAATATCATAACAGTAAATGAAACAACAAAATAAACATAACAATATAAATAGTTAAACGATAAATGAAGAAAGAAAGAAAGTAACAAAATAACAAAAACTAAAATATGACGTATGTGAAAAACTTCTGTTTTTTTCTTTTTTTTTTTTTTTTTTTTTATATATATATAAGTTTACATATAATAAACGTAGAAATACAAATGTAACGAAAAATAACAAAAGAAAATAGAAAACTTTTTCCAGAGAGAAAAAAAAATATAATAGTTTATAAAATAATGAAGAAAACGACTAGTTTAGATAGATATCGTGACAGTATGAAAAAAAATTAACCGATAATGGATCATCGCATGGACATGACATATTGTGTATTGTTTCGTATTTGTTGATCAATGTATTATGATTCATATAAGATAAATAATATAAGTAGATGGCTTTTGTAGAAATAATTTAGTAATAGAATTATAGTATATAACGATCATCTTATAAGATGATCTGCAATGATGTTGTTTATACTAGAATAAAATTGATATTATGATTCATGATTATGATTTATTTGTGTTGTTGATGATGATGATGAGAATAATGAATATTTGAATTCGATCGACGTTGTTGTGAATGAATTTCATTGTAATGATCAGTAGAAAATAGATTTCTAGTTTCACGTTCGTATTTAGATAGTAATGTTGGATTTTTTATACCAATATATAATGATGTACGATTAGTTAAAGAAGATGTTGAAATATTTAAAGCACCAAAATTTATAGAACGTTCACGAAGAATTTTCTTGACTAATGTAATTGTAAATCTTCGATCGATGCCTCTTCTTATAATTTCATGTTTATATAATTTTTTCCTTTGTTTTAAAGTACATGTACGATTATGAATTTTCCGTTTTTGTTCATTGGATATGTTTGCACGTTCATATTGAAATTCATTATGTGACGAGTTATTTATATTTATATGTTGATATGGTTGTTCAGGTTCATCATCATTAGAGGATATTTCTTCTACATCAGGATTGTTTTGTTGATTTAAATTTGATGATTGATTGATTTTAAAATTTTCATTTGGTAATACAATTAAATCATTTGGGTCTGATGAATCCGAATACATTGAAATATCATAATCAGGTTCAGTAGATAATTCATTTGCTGGTTCTTGTTGTTCGATTAATTTCATGTTAATAATAAGGTGATGCATTGATAAACAATCATTGGCAGCGTATGTTGTCATTGTTTGTCGATATGCAAGTTCTTTGGAATTTAAATGAACTAATGTTGGATCAAGACCTATATCGAATGGTGATCGGGAACGACGTTTATCTAACCACTGATTGAGTTGATATGCCACGGCATTTTTTAATGACCAAGGATTATTTGGTTGAATACCTAAACATGTTTCACATATGCATAGGATGTTATCATTAGTTGATGATACTTTTGGTTTATGAGGATGGTGTTGCTTCCAAAAAATTTTAAATTCATCTTGTAGGTTAATATTATTTGACAAATAAATTTGACTAGATGAAAATAAATTGAAATTGAGAAATTTTTTTAATTCATCAATAGAACCCCAAATATAAATATTTTTATTTGAATTAAATAATGCAACAAATAATTCTTGAATTAAAATGAATGTTCGTTCATGCATGTTTGGTAAATGACGAACTTCAACAAATATAACATATGAAAATAAATTTTTTTGTATTATTTGTAATTGTATAAGTGCCGGTTCATTTGGTTTTTTGGGAATGCATATTGATTCAGCATCTAATGTAAATAAATCTGAATCATTTATTGTTTCGATAAGATGAATTAATGTTTGTTCGGTAGTTTTGCAATTAATATAAAATGGTTTATAATTTAACGGTTCAAATGGTGGATAACGAGATGCAAGTTCATGTTCATGGATTTTTTCTCGAAATATAGCACGAAGATGTTGACGTGGTTTTCCAGTAATAGTTGATGGTGTGTTGTTGAATTTCCATATAGCATCTTGATATTCTTCTTCGGATAACATGACTATAATAATAAAATTAAAAAAAATATAATAGATATTGATTCACTTTTATAGTGAATCTGTAATTTGTTTATTATCATTTCTTGTAGGAAATAAGAATCTAGTCCCAATTATATAAATCCAATTTTTTGAATATGAAAATAAAGGAATAGATATTTTTTTTTTAATATACATATATATGTTACGAAATCTAGCTTTCTCTTTTCGATTCTCAGTGCCTAGGTTAAGAATCTGATAAGAATAATTGAATAATAATTGTATTCAATGATGAATTTCGTATCGTAGAATAATTAGAATATAAGAAAAATATGGTCTAATTTAAATATAATAGCCCTTCATAATCAGTGAGTGGGGGAAAGGCACACATCCCGATCATGCCATGCTAAATTAAATCCAATTAGATTAATTGATTAATAAATAATTATTCCATTTAATTTGACATATTGGTATTACGGATCTCTTTGTTAGAGGTCCTGTAATTAATAAATTCGTTCAAATATTGGTAATAACACGTCGGTTGTAACTTGACGATATAATGTTGATTTTTTGACGTGTTGAATAATAAATGTTTTCGGTGTAATTTTTTGAATAATTCTATATGGTCCTTCATAACGAACATCGAATTTATAACGGATATTGAGTGTTTTACAAAGAACTAATTCACCAATGTTGTAGGTTGGATCAGAACGATTTATATCATAACGTTGTTTATATCGTTCTTGATTTTTAATAATATGAATTTTTGCTTGTTCGTTTAATTTGGATAAAAATTGACTAAGTTTTTTCGCATGTTCAGAATCATATGATAAGGTAACATTTGTATCTTGATGATCGAATGGTAGAACAGGTGATCGACCGTACATCATTTCGAATGGTATTTGTTTTGTTGAGGAATGAATTGAAGTATTGTAATTAAATGTAACAAATGATAATTGATCATCCCAATCGGTTTTACGTAAATTTGATAAAACTGTAATTTTTGCATCCATAGTTGAATTATATCTTTCAACTTGACCGTTAGTTTGGGGATGATATGGTGTTGAATATAAATGTGTAGCTCCAATTTGTTTAATTAATTCATCCATTAACATTGAAGTAAAATGTGTTCCGTTGTCAGTAAGAATACAACGAGGAGTTCCAAATTTTGAAATAATGTCTTCTTTAAGAAATCTAATAGCTGTTTGAGCTGTATTATCACGTACAGCCTTTGTAACGACGAATTTTGATAAAACATCGGTAAGAGATATAATATATTTGTTTCCACGTTGAGATGTTGGAGTAATAGGTCCATGGAAATCCATTGATACTAATTGCCATACTCCTTCTGGAGGTTTAATAGGTCTTAAGGTACCAGGATTTTTTTGTCGACGAGGATTAAACTGTGCACATGGAATACATGATTTAATATAATTATTAATATCTTTGTACATTGATGGCCAAAAATAACGTTGTTTAATTTTATGTATTGTTTTATCTCTTCCGAAATGAGCACCATTTGCTGCAGTATCACGATAAATTTATAAAATTGTTTTTCGGAAATCACCTTGTGGTACGTAAGGGACTGGAGTCTTTGATCGATGCATTAAAAGATTATTTTTAATAATATAATTTTTATATTTCTTAATGTTGTTTATAATATTTTTTGCGTAATTATCATTTTGTTGAGCTTGAATTAATTCGTCAATTGAAAATGGAATTGTGCGATTCTCTTCAACAGAAGTGTTTAGAGAATCTGGTGTTAATTTTGTTGTAGTTGGAATGTCATTTAAAGTTTTGTTTCGTAATTTCATAGCACAAGTTTCAACAGCTGCGACAATAGATGAATGATTATTAACATTTGAAATATCGGTTTGTGTTGATTTTGAAATAAGATGTATAGTTTCATCAGGATCTTCTTCAGCATCGTCAACTGGAGATCTTGATAAATAATCAGGCATTGAATTTGTTAAACCGGGAATATATTTCACTTTGAAGTCATATTCTAAAATTTTTAATCTCCATCTTTCACATCGTTTATTAATTTGTGCTTTTTTATTTAATTGTGTTAATGCTTTATGATCAGTTTCCCAAATAAATGTAATTCCACTTAAATAATTATGCCATTTATCTAGTGCACATATAAAAGCATAACATTCTTGTTCCATAGGAGACCATTTACGTTGTGCTTGAGTAAATTTCTTTGATAAATATGCAATTGGTCTATCTCCTTCGGGATAAATTTGTAATAAAACTGCACCGATTCCCTCATCCGAAGCATCGATTTGTACTTTGAAAGGGAATCTATTATTTGGAAGTCGTAATACCAGATCAGTTGTAAGAAATTTTTTAAGTTGTTCGAAGGCTTTAATTTCTGCACTTGTTAATGTAATAATAGTTTTTTGTCCTTTCTTTTTTTGAGTTCGTGTAGTTGGAACAAATTTTCGAAGTGGTTCGGCGATTTGAGAAAAATTAGGTATAAATTTTCTGTAATATTCCGCTGCTTTAACAAATTTACAAGCTTCATCTGCCGTTTGTGGTAATCTTGTATTTAGTAAACCATGTATATTGGTAGGACTTGGACGAATTTCACCATTTTGTATACGATGTCCAACATAATTAGTTTGTGTTCGAGCAATTTCACATTTTTCTGGATTGAGACGAAAACGAGCTTCTTTTAATATTTGACAAATTTCATTGAGATGTGATAAATGTTCTTCGAATGTTTTTGAGTATATAATTACATCATCAATATATGCTAATGCATATTTCCATCGTGTAGGACCTAATATATGGTTAATAACACGTTGAAATGTTGCTGGACCATTTGTTATTCCTTGTGGAAGAACTGTAAATTGATAATGATTATCACGAGTTGAGAATGCAGTTTTAGGTCGGTCCTCTTTAGATAGAGGTACCTGGAAATAACCAGATTTAAAATCGAATTTTGTGTAATATGTTGCATCAAATAATTGATCAAAAATTTCATCAATACGAGGTAATGGAAATGCATCTTTAATTGTAATAGCGTTTAATTGTCGATAATCAATACAAAATCGCATAGTTTTGTCTTTTTTTTTAACAAGAACGATCGGTGATGACCATGGTGAAGTTGATTCTTCAATTTGACCACGTTCTAATAATTTTTGTGTTTCTTGAAATTTAATTTCTTGATCTTTAGATGATGCTGGATATTGTTCTGAATAGATAGGTGGATGATCAGCAGTTTTAATTGCTGATTGTGGAGGAATATTAATAATTGATGGTGTAGGATCAAATAATATTTTATTTCGCCATAAAATATCTTGAATTTCTAATCGATGTTTTGGATTTTCTATATGTTTAGTCGATTCGAGTATTTGTTGTCGAATCTGTTCTGAATAACATTTTCCTCGTAAGTGTTTTTGTAAATCATTTCCAGATAAAAAATGTTCATCGCAATGATGACAAATAATATTTAATTTTTCTTGATTCGAGTTGTCCTTTTTACATAAGACAGCTCTGAATTTCAATTTATTGTAATGTCGAGTTGATGTTTGATGATGTTCATTTAAAATAGAATTATTTTTTGTTGGAATTTGTGTAGTTGCATATATAGTATATGTTGCATCACGGGAGATGGTTCCGATTCGTGTATTTTTTGATAATGTTTGTTGTCGATTTTGTGCATTTATTAGTAATACTTTGGCTTGATTTTTATTGATATTTAATAATGTGTATGTGGCATGAAAATAAATTTTGATATATGACGTTCATAAGGTTCAAATATAAGATTGTGTGCATTGTTAATTTGACATGTTATATCAACTAATTGTTGTGAATATGGTGGAAGAGTAATTTGTCGAATTAATAATGCTGGATAATTAATGCATGTCGGCTCCACATATGGAATTGAAATTAATTGATCATGTTGATCAGGAATAGTTAATTTTTTGTGGTCACCATAAAGGTGAACATGATTCGAATTAATCCAATCATTTCCTAATAATATTGATGTAATTAAATTTGTTGCAACACAAGCAACAACATAAGTTGTTATCGATTTGATTTTTATTTCTAATTTAATTTGGCCGATTATATTAAGTGATGTTGAATTTGCTGTTTGACATGTATGATTTTTATAAAAAAAATTTTTGTGATGAATAGTTTTAAGAAAATTTAAATGAATGATTGAGATGGCGGAACCTGTATCAACAATTGCTTCAGTTGGTTGATCATTAACACGAATCTTGATGTAAACAGGAAATGATGTTATTGTTGATGGCTTTATAAATTTACTGGGAACACCGCCATCATGTGACCCAGCTATTGAAAATTTGGAGGTAATGTACAATCACAGACATTGTGATTTTGACCACAATTAAAGCATCCGGTTGTACGTTTATAATAACAATCAATTGTTCGATGATTGTTGCGACCGCAAACTTTACAGTCGTTGAATTGATGTTGTGATAGTGGTTGACTATTGCTTAGTTCCTTCTGTAATATCGATTGTGGTGGATAATTTCGAATTTGTTTTCTATCAGGTGCCATGAATGTTCGATTTCCAAGTGTTGGAATCGAGTTCCGCTGAGAAACGGAGCTCTGTAATTGTGTTGAATGTGAAACAGGATTGTTGTACTTCATTGTATTATAATACTGTTTTGGTTGATTAACTGCAGCAGTTAATGATGGAATTGATGGGTGATTATAATTAAAATGACGTTGTTGTGAATCAAGTGATAGACTACCGAATGTATCATGTAAATCTTGTTCAATTTTTGCATATTTTAAAAATTCATTTAATGTATTGATAGATGATTCACGTCTTAATAATTCCTTCCGAAAATCAAGATTGATTCCACTCATTAAATATTGAATTATAATTTTTTCTGACATATTTGAATCAATTTCCCGGCATAAATTAATAATGTCGTCGAAAAAAGACGTAATCGGTTCATCCGGTAATTGTTTACGTTGTTTTAATGTATCAAATTTCTTGTGAGTTGATGTTGTAGAAACATATCGATTTCGAAATGCAGTTTCGAAATCCGATCATTTTTTGAAATTAGGTTCATTATTATCGAACCATGTTCCAGCTGATTGAATTAGTTTACCACGAACAATTTCTAAAATTTCATGATTATTTGATTCATCAGTTGCTTTGGTTATATTTTTAATGCTTTTTAAAAACCGTTCGACATCCTCAGAAGGATGCCCAGAAAAATTTGGTAGATCATCGAATCGTGCTTTACGAGCTTTTGCTAATAATGTTTGATCAACCATTTTACGTATTTCAATTTCTGATGTTTCCATTTCGATTGAATCAGTATGTGGAAATGTACGAGATTTTGAATGTGTAATAATAGTATATGAAAATAGTTTGCTATTATTTTTCTTAACTTGAAGCCTTGTTCCGGAAGCCGTTATGAAATTATTATATGTAATAATAAATAAATATAATAGCAAGTAATTCAATAATTGAATAAAAATGAATCAATGTACGAATAACGAATACTTGAATGAAATTCTTTTTTTTTAGAATTTCTAACTATATTGTTTTATGTAATTGAAAAGAATGAACGAAATTCTCTTTTAGAATTTCTAATTAGATTGATTTATGTAATTGAAGAATATACGAAATTCTTTTTTAGAATCTCTGATTTTTGTTTAGTTGTATAAAAGAAAACTGATGAAGTGCTGTATTAAGATTTCTGTCTATATTGATCATTGTTTTCTTTTTTCTGTTTATATGTATATATATATATTTTTTTTTTAGATTAAACTTGTTAAAAAATTCTTTCGGGAACGTACAACCCAATTTTATATGTTTAAAACATTAGAAACGGTTTACTGAAAAGTATCCCTTATTTTATTAATTATGAAAAAAAGAGACGTTGTTTTACCTAATGGTTGAATTAATAATTAATAAAAATTATTTCACCCGAGTCTATATAACAAGGCTCTTATGCAATTGGTTTTCGAGTCTCTTTTTTAAATTAGAGGCTCTTATATTTTTTAATTAATTTTAAAATAAAAATAAATTGTTGTTGTTGTTGATTTTCGTTTTGTCCAGGGTCGCCAAATGTTAGGGGTTGTCCTTTTGGATCAACCCTAAGTTCGTTCTCTTCTCTTTAACGAAAAAAAGTATGTATATGTGTGTGTGTATACGTACACTTGCACACCGTCTTTTATTTTATCTGTTTTTAAATAATGGAAAACACGTACATATATAGTGAGCGACAAAAAAAGAAAAAAGAAGAGAGAGAGAGAAAAGAAAAGAAAGAGAACAGGGACTAGATGTATGGATAGTAAAAGAGAAGACTAGATGTATCACCAAGAAAGAAATAGAAAACGAAATGAAAAAAGAAAATAAAAATGAAGATAGATGGCGAGTTGTAACAGTGCGACATCACTGTAACAGAAAGTATCTTCATAACGAAAATCTGTGTTGACTATCTAATTCTAGATAGAATCTTGTGGAATACTTTCCTCGTTGCAAGAATCCAATATTCATTTTCGATAATGTAAGAATCCATTTGTATCAAGAATGCATTGTCATTTAATAGATCAAGTTAGGACTAGAGAAAAAAAAAGGTAACTACGCAGATAAATAAACACTTTGCCTTCGTTGTTGCATTCTTCTTTCTTTTGTGACCATTATTATCATCACCTCGGCTTATTTTCGTTTTTTCATTGCACACACAATATTAACGAACAACAAAATGTTTAATGCATTCATGTTGCCTATCATCTCTGTTATCTATTTCTCTTTCTTTGTATATTTTCATGTTAGATAATGACTTGATAAGACACATAGGCGTGATGTCACATTTTTTTCTTTAAAAAGAAAACTACTCTATTTCAAATGGATGCTTTGTGGACGTTCATTCTTAACGAGCGTTTTTGGTTAGCAGGCAATACAACTTGGAAAGATTTTGCTCGACTCGAAAAAGATGAAAACATCAAGTTGACAAATCCAAACGATCTTATCTATGTTTATCCTTTGGCCGGTATAATTTATGTGATACGAGTGCTTTTCGAACGGTAGAAAAGAAAAAAAAATACCATTCTAACTTGCATACTGTATTGACAGTTTCTTTTCTTGTTAGATATGTTGCTAAACCGATTGGTCGATCGCTTGGTATTCAAGATCGAGTTGGAAGAAATACAACAAAAGATTTGAAAACTACAGCAACAACAGTATCAAATCGTTCTAAACCAATAAATATAAATCAAACATACCAACAAGAACAAGTAGTCAGTAATGATAGTGGCTCATCGGTATCAACAGTTCGCTATTCACGTATTACTCGACTAGCTAAATTTAGTGAATCCTGTTGGCGTTTTACTTTTTATCTAAGTGCATTCATTTACGGTGTTGTCATACTTCTAAATGTGAGCATATATATGTATGTATATTTGTTAACTCTTTATATTTTCAGAAATCATGGACATGGGATACACGTCATTGTTGGTTGAATTATCCTAATCAACCTCTGACAGCAGACATCTTTTGGTACTACATGATCGAACTTGCTTTCTATTGGTCACTTTTATTTTCTCAATTTATCGATGTTAAACGAAAGGTATAAGTAAAAAAACCGTTGTATTTTTGTAATGGAAAAAATACTTTTTTGAGCATTTTGTTTTTGTTAATAGGACTTTTGGCAAATGTTTCTTCATCATATAGCTACTATAATGCTTTTGTCCTTTTCCTACATTGCGAATTATGTGCGTGTCGGCTCACTAGTACTTGTTATACATGACTGTGCCGATTATTGGCTTGAGGTTTGTATTTTATCAAACAAAAATCTTTCTTTTTCCTTGTCTAATCGATCCATTTTTTTAAATAGGGCGCCAAAATGGCCATCTACACGCGGTCAAAACAGATCAGTGACGCTTTGTTTATGATATTTGCCATTGTGTGGTTTATCACTCGTATTTGCTACTATCCGTATAAGTAAGTTAACTAAATTATTGATTCATTCAATTAATCCTTCGTACTCTCTTCTAGAATACTCTACACGACGTTGTTCGAAGGAGTATCTATTCTTGAATCATGTCCTGCTGCTTATTATGTATTCAATGGATTACTATCGCTTCTTTATGTTCTTCACTATTTCTGGTTCTATCTCATATGTAGAATAGCCATAACTGCATTGAAGAGTGGTCAGGTACGATAATCAATTTTCTTCTTATTTTCATCTAAGTTTGAGATTATGAGTAAGTATATGAACGTTGTAGTTAGAATAGAAGAGAAAATGAGAATTTTCATTTACTTGAGTGAAAAAGAATTAAAAATAAAACTTGATTTTTTGGCTATTTTTTTTCTCTTTTTCATTTATTGCAGGTGAAGGACGAACGAAGCGACAGTGAAGATAGCGATGGTGATGACAAGAACAAGTGATTCTCTAATCTTCCTTCCGATAATGAATATTACTCAAGGTGTCTTTTATGCTGTTGTAGTACATAATCGTTTGGAGAGTGATTTGTCTTTTTTTTCTACAAATATATTCAATCGAATGCCTATCGTATAACAAATGAAAAACATCATGTAAAACTCGGTCTGCAGTCCGAACAATAATTGTGAAATTGCAATTTCTAAGTCCGTCTATCGTGGGATAAAAGAGCATAAATTAAAAAAGAATAGAAACAATATTCAGTAGTCGAGTCAATAGATTAAATAATGGAATTTTTTTTCTAATCAATGCTCAGTAATTTGATAATCAGATCTATCGTTAGTTTGAATTCTTGCGATCAGATCTGTGATCCGTTTCTCGACTTAACTTAAGGATTTGTGAAACGTTGGGTTCTGATAAATACTGTAATTGACTTCTTTGGATTCGAAATTGCGACAGCAACCATCTATTAGATATATTGATATCCAGTGGTCTAATCCAACATTATTTTAACTAGAGATTTGAAGAATCATCTGTACTCTTATACGAATGATTAAATTCATTTAAAATGAAGAAGATTTACAATTTCGTTGCTGATAGCATACGATAAGATGATAGTGAGTGTGCTGAAATAAGCAGAAGTCTATATGCTTGTTTATCCCAAACCATAATCAGGAACTTTTCTTTGATACAATTATCGTTTTTCTATTTCCAAATCGGTATCCCATGTCGGAATATTCTCATCGAAAATGCACTGTATCAAGTGTGAAAATCATTGATCTGCTAGTGTCTTTTAATGGAACAACAATTAATCAGACATGCATCATATTAATGTAGTTGATACTTATCGATAGATATGATACTTGGCATAATCATTGCATTCGTTTTCAAGGATAAGCGAATTTTGAGTTTTTCATTGCGAAACAAGAAGGAAATGTTACTCGTAAAATCTAAATGGAATTTAAGTAGAATTGCTTTAACTGCATCCAATCATAGTTTGTCACATATCTTATCTGATCAACTGATTTCAGGGTGTGGATGTTGATATGTGGATGAAGAAAAGACCTACAGAGCATTCACACATAAGTCAGAAATTAATCTAGAAATTCAAGATATATTCAATTTTAAATCTTATCAAGATAATCCTGAAAAATATGTACATTCTCATTTAGATCGAATCATTCCATTAATTATTTACACTTCGTCAGTTGCTAATAAACTACAATTACCAAAAGATACTCAAATAATTATATTATTTCCTCAAACAATTTTTAAAAATAATTTCTCCTGTTCTTCATTAAACATTTCACTAAGAACTTTCCGAAATTGTTGAGTGTGTGACGAATCTTGGTTCAAATCGTCACCATTATTCGTATATTGCTAAACAAATAATCGATTGTTGTAAAGAGATAACGAGTATTTTGTGAAAATTGATGTACGTAGTTCCAATAGAAACTCTTGTTTGTA